ACGCCATGACTGTCTTCTGATGTTGATTGTTAACTATGTTCGGTGATTTATGCATTACGTTCAGTACTTTGATTTTTAAAAAGTCAGGAGTAAAGTTAACATTATTTACTTTATAATATAATATTGACATCAAAATGTAACACAATTTGAACAAGAAGACATCCGAACAAAAAGGGCCGTTAAGATCCACGAGCCCGGAAAAAGGGCTGTTCAAAATCCACTAGCCCTCCAAGCTCGTTGATCTGTAACAGCCCTTTTTGTTCAGAGGTCTAGATCTCTTAATGTCGATATTTACTTATCATTGAAATTTTATTATTACGCAATATATTGTTAGTTTGATTTGTCTGACTTGGGTTACAGTGTAAAATGTCATGAGTGTAAATAGATGAGTCATGTACACATATCCAGTGTGTGTGTGTGTGTGGGGGGGGGTTAAAAGAGGTATATATATACATTTGTAATATTTTAACTTTAATATTTTTAAAACGTTGAAATAAGACAAAACTTTATAGATCATTATTTATCTAGATTATCATGTTTGTTATAAACTGAGGTCTCTAAAATCTGCATTACGGTATGTAAAGCATGTAAATGTTATTATTTTCTATTAGGTAATTATAAATTGATGTTAAACTCCGTACATGCTACACGGAGTCTACATTTCATATGCATAAATCGATAAGGAGTAGGACCAATTTCCCCTAAATTTATTTCACAACAGGGCCATTGTAAAAATGTCTATCAATCTTTACCTCAATATTCATAGCATCAACGCCAAAAGTGTTTAATATATGGTTCTGGCATTATTATGGCTTGTTTCTAAACAGATCATCAATTTTTAAACGCCCAAAAATTGCCAAATACAGTCATTTTGACACATTTTGTCAACTTTCGAGTATTTATGAAATAATTTACAAGAGCATCGTTTACCAAAACCAAAATTTGTTAGAAATATCGCTAGGTATTATCTTTTGGACACAACTTAATTGATTTTTGTTAGCGACGTCCTTCCATGCAAAGTTTGACAAACACAATTCAAAATTTTAAAATTTTGTGGCAAATTGCCGCCAATATTAGCATGTAGCGCTGAATAGCATAGTGGGTTAATATGTAAAATTGTAAAGTATATATTATACACTCTTTACTAAGATTCAATTTTCAGTAGGATTTGACAACTTTGAGATGTTGTCCCTGTGAGTTAAAAAAATAAAGGGGGAAGTCGACCTTTAAACTTGTGTAAATATCACATTTATCATTATTATTCATCTTGACCGTACCGTTGCTATAATGTTTGTTTTTAAAGATGAACTGTGTTTACACCTTAGACAAAGATCAAGAAAGCTCTTAATGAGAAAATTATTTTAAAAAGTTGTAAAGAGATAGTAACAGTATACCAGTTTCACATAAGCGACTTATCAACCGTGATCTCGAAATCATATACGCGTTTTAGCTTAAATCCCGCGATAATTAACGATATCTTACTTGACAGGAGGATATCTGATTGTCTTGTATATTAACAAAAGCAACTTTATTACGCCTGGGACGAATGAATATATATACTGGGCTTAGATTATAAGTATTTTAAGTTTTTAGTAATCATTTAATTTATATATTCAAAATAATTAGTATGACAGTTTATACAGAATACAAATATTCCAAATCTTATTGAAAAAAATCCGTATAACATGAATTAATGAATAGGAAGATGGGGTATGATCGAACGACACAACTATCAACCAGAGACCAAAAGACATATATGTAAGAAACTATAGGTCACCATATGGCCCTCAACAATGAGCAAAATTCATACCGAATAGTAAGCTTTAAAAGATCCCGACACAAAACAATTTAAACAAGAAAAAACGTCGTTTTGTTGGGGTAAAAAGTTTATAACAGTTGTATTCAGAAATCAAAATGTTTAAACACAAGTATATATCTCGAGGTTGCTACTTTTTGCTTGCTACAGTGCTGTATGTCAGTTTGATGATTTGTGAAAAGAGAAAATATATTTTGTACAAAAGAAAACAAGCTATACACCAGAAATACATTTAATATCAGAACAGCTATACAAATTTCTCTGTGTGATTACCGTAAACAATTCGCAACTTTTCTCAAATATTGTTTTACAAGTACTCCATATCGAAATCTTCTTAACATATAAAAGGGTTACGTAGACTTGCTAGAATTCCCTTTCTTTTATTTCTTTCTTACTCATTTATATGTTCACTGAAAACTGCCATGATACCGAATGTCCCAGTACACTGATTACCCTTTGCAGTTGTCAATATAATTGCAATCTCATAGTTATAGCAGTAAAAATGTTAAAGAGGTAAAATCGAAAAAGAAAAAAAAAATAGGAAGGGACATGTAGCAAGTCTAAGGATTACGGCGAAAAGTAAGATTTAGTACAATAGACTCGAACTTTGTATCTTCGAAAGCCGTTTAATGGTATGGTGACTTTTGCGTTAAATCTTATGGGTACAAGATACATAAGAAGATGTGGTATGAGTATCAATGAGACAACTCTCCATCCAAGTCATAATGTATAAAAAGTCCAGTTACCGGCAGTTAAGAATGTATTCACTAAATAGCCGAAATTTCCTCTTTAGAATGTGGAAATATAAACGAAAAATGATAGAACTTTTCCTTTTATACTCTGCAAAAGATGTAGACTAATTAGTATATATTGTGGTATGTTCTAAAATATAAAAACAATGATAGGTAACCGACCTTGTTTTCAAGCTACCGGCTGTGAAAATGTGAAACATTTTGTATGGATTATACATAGACAAGTCATCATTATATAAATCTATACTATTAAATGAGAAGACTTCATTTTGTGGATGTGAACCATACTTCGATTTGAAGATTCTGATGGCAGTTTTGAATCATTGACCCCCAACAAATGCTCTAGTACTGAGTTGATAGTTTGGCCAATATGTTTCCTCCTGCATCAAAAGAATGCAAGTCTTGAACAACTTGATGGACAGCTGGAGGATACTTCCCTTCAGAAAATGCATCAATCGATTTTTTTCCTTGAAAAAGCAGTTACCTGTTCCATTAAACAAACAATGTTCGTGTTTCTTTCGGAAACTTCTTTTTGTAATTTTGATATAAGTTGTTTTTGTTAAAAGTCGGTTTTTTTTTAATTCATGATTTTGCCTCTTACTGTAAGTCAAGTATTTAACTTTCTTCCTTTTTTCTGGCAATTCTGCTTCTACAATTATGTTTCTGTCCATTTTGAGTTTTTTTTTTATTTCGTCTTCCTAGTTGATTGATTGATTGATTGTTGGTTGCTTAATGTCCAGTGGCAAATATTTCATGCATGTTCAGGACGAGAATAAATAACAATAAATATAATAGGTAGGTCCGGCAATAGAGGACATCCGGGATGAACGTCAGGGAAATTTGGACTGCAATTGGAAAATCAGGGTATAGTGGATAAGGAAAGTTTTTGCCTTCGAACCCCTTAAAGAGTTGTTGCAAGGGTTCTTAACGTGCAACGACCGTGGTACTTCCTCTACACGAGGCATCGGATTTTACGGATCGGACGTGACTACGGACTAGTTCATCCAGAACATTATTTTTGTTGAATAGTCACTATCTTTCGAGTATGAAGGTTTTCATATTTAATTAATAATACCATGATTGTGTAATGTATTATAATCAAATATTTGCAAACTGGATTTTAAAGGTTTTTTTTATCGTAAAATATGTATTTCATAAGAAGGTGCAGAATTTTCTATTTTTCAGAGAATTTAACATGGGATGAAACGGATTCCATATTCTTTCAAGATTTAGAGACTCCAAATTAGCGTAAAAATTTAGGCCACGTGGGGGTGGGGTTACTGGCTTTAAATTAAAACTTAAAACCGTCATTGCAATTGATCTACGTTTTAAGGTTTTCTAGTATAAATATGGACAGAGACATTCGACGAAAACATCTATATTTCAAATAAAAGAGTATATCAATAGGTTTTATTTCATAATCATGAACAAACATTCCTTTTTGAAGCGGTTCAATCATTTATCATCACCATTGATCGTTTATGAAAACACATATGAATGGAACAGTGGTTAAATTTCCAGTCGATGACCGCTGTACTATTTTTTTAGACAAGTAAGTCCCACCCTTTTCTATCTAAAAACTCCTCTCTACTAGAATTCCCTTGACTCAACCAACTGGATGTGGGAGGAAGGGATAACAGTCTGAAATATGAGAACAATCTTTTTTTTATCGTTTAAAAAAATAGTAAATATTTAAATAAAAAAGAAAAAAAAAAAAAAAAAATAGAAAAGGTTATATAGTAATGTTTGAGGATAGGTAGACAGAGGCGAATTTAGGGGATGTGCCCGGCCCCCCTCCTTTTGTGGGAAAAAATTGGTTGATTATATAGGGAATCACTGAAGCATGACTGGAGCTGGCCCCCTCTTAGGCAGTCAGTGGGCTCCCACTTATGCAAACTTCTGGATCCGCCACTTGTAGATGTAAAATAATAAGACTCAAATTAAAAGGTGGAGAATGTTTTGCAACCTAAATAAACCGATCACTTATACTGTAGCAGTAATCGGCAGGAGAGAAAATGGAAAAAAGGAAAAACAAGCACTTCAACATAGCAAATGATGAAAACTTAAGTGATACTCATCATAGTACAAGCCAATGGCCTTGTAAATGCCCCCCACCCCCTTTCCTAAAAAGTGGGGATATGGAGGTAATGCAACAAAATAATTATAAGAATAATAATTGCCAAAAAGGTACACCATCTGCTACTGAGATAAATCTTGGCAAAGATAAAATTCTGCTCCCCTGAACAATTGATTTTCAGAAAATCGGCCTAATCTATTTTTATCTGACTGTACGTTCTCGAAATTAACCTATATTTGTTTTTTCGTTAGTCTGAAATTGAGTAAAATTGCTTATTTAGGAAAATGTTGATATCTCGCTACCCCTAGCTGTGTCTTAGTGTGAACATTTAATAACTTTTATCTGTATATTTCAGATGTCATTATTGTGAGAAGATGCCTGTGTACAGATGTTATGAATGCAGTAACGTTTTATGTGATGATTGTTATCTAAAGCATGACAAATTAACTAAAACAACAAAACATCACACATTTCAATCTACCAACGATAAAATGCTACTGAATAATAAAGTCGAGGTTTTTGCTAATATAGCTGATATAAAAGCACTACCGGGAGGATTATTAGTGTTTGCTTTGTTTTATAGTAACAAGTTACAAACATATTCAGTCAGCGATAAGCAACGAAATGAAATAAGCGTAGGTGGAAGACCACGTAGTATTGCAATATTAGACAGAAATACTGTCGTTGTTCTGTCATCACCTATTCATTTTTTAGGAACGATTAACTCAATAGAAATAGTTGATATAAGACAAAGACAGGTGATTCAACATGTAGACTTGACACTTGATCTTCTATACTACCCATTCTGTTCAATGTTATACATTGATGATCAACTTTATATCAGTAACCATTCAGGAATAACAGTGACGGATATATCTGGGACAACAGACAGGGAAATAGAGTTAGGATTCACACCAAGAGATATGTGCTATGATACTAAGGCAACACGTATTTACTGTATTGACGGTTCAGAGAACAAACTGATTTGTATTGATAGAGATGGTAACACAATATTTACATTTACCGATACTGGTCTAACAAATGCAGAACATCTTGCCATAGACAATGAAGGTTATGTACTTATTTTGTGTCTTGATGATAATGTAAACGAATTCAAAGTTCACAGGATATGTCCCGACGGAAAGTCTAGTGAGGTAATTATAACAGGGACATACAATGACACATATAGATATTGTCTTTCAAGTATTTGTTTTCAGGAAGAGTCAGATGAAGTGGTCATTGGAATAGAAAAAAAAGTATACACTTACAAAAATAATGAGAGAATTAAACCTAAAGTATTTGAGTGAGACACACAATGTCGTTTCTCCCACACATTACACATGTATGTCAGACATATACATAGGAATCATTGTGTGATTATACATGTATGTGTATATATATTGTATGTACTGAGCAAAATAAACATGAGATATTCCTGTCAACATGGTCAATGCGGATTGAACGCTTCCAAATCGACCAACTATGAAACACGTTTTATTAGGATCATTTACAAGCCCAAACTCAATCTCCAGCACAGTTGACTTAGGGTATTGAACTTTAAGTATATAAAGACCCTTAAGTCTTATCTCTTCCGTGGATAAACAAATATAGTTCACCGTACGGACTTCAACAACGAGCAAAACCCATACCCCAATTAAGACAGGTTTGTTTTATTGGTTTGCCCAGTTTAGATTTTCTAGGTTTTCCATTCTTTAACGCGTTTAATTGTCTTAACTGGTTGAAGATTTTAATGCACATGGAAAATTCTTCGATCAGTTTATATGTTTATACAGTTTAAATTTTAAGTGCTATATTTATTTTAAGGATGTGCTTAGGTGAAATTAAAAAAATCTAGAATTTAAAATTGATACTATAAGTCAGAAGAGTATAATTTTGTTAAGGAACAAAATAAGCTTAAAATATTGATAGGTTATGGAGCTCCCTTTCGAGATATTTGATTTTTTTTAAATGGCGGAAAAGGCTGACTCGGACTTTTACCTTATATTTGTATTGGTATTATTTGGGTCTCAAATCGAAAGAAAACAAATCTAGAATCTGCTTAAATTTTGGTAAATGACCTTTTATTGAAGTCTTATATGACAAGAAAAATGGGTGTTATGGGGCAAAATATTTTACCCTGTATCGTAAGAAAAAAACCAAGGAGTCCGAACATCTGACAAAAAATCCTAAACCTGACCTAAGGTTAATTTTTTTTTTCTGTATTTTAAATCTGAACGGCTACATTTTTATATATACTTAGTATTTTACAGACTTAGTTTCCAAGGTTGATGTTTTCATGAGCTAGTCTTTTTTTAAATAATAATCATTATTAATGTCTTTCTAAGTTTAAATTTTTTGGGGAAGAATCTGACGCTTTAACGAAAAGAGTTCGAGAAATATTGTACAATTAAGTATTTCCCTTCGTCATGTTCATGTAAATAGTTACGTTTATTTTTTTTTTATATTTTCACAATTTGTAGGGGTTTTTTTTTTTGTGTGTGTTGTATTTACCATTTATATTAACGATGTATATGCTATGTAAACAGTTTTTAAATCAAAATGTTTTTTTTTTTATTTTATTGAAATATCATATAAACGTAATACGGAAGTCTTGGAGTGACATGCAAAAATAAAATTACAACTCGTGCGCTCGAGTAACACAACTTGTGTGCACGAGTTACTAACTTGTGCGCACGAGTTATACGTATTCTAATTGAAATGCGCACATTTGCTTAGAAGTCTAATAAATTCCTGCTTAGACAGGGCGCTGAAAAACGTCCATTTTTCATTTTTCAAAATTAAATAATGAATAGTAAAGTTAATGAATAACGAAATAGTTTATATTTCAATATTCTAGTTGAAAAGTGAACAATGAACTAGATCATTTATTATTAGACTGTGGAACTATCCTGTAATTGTGAATTCTCTAGGTTTTTTTTATGTCAATCTACATATTTTCAAATTTATTTATAAAAACATATTTGCAAACTATCTTTGAATTTCATTTTCGTAACATCAGCATGATCAGTACGGATGATCAATTCGCATAAAAAATTCTGTATTCCAATGAAGATCTTATAGAGATAAGGCAGGAATATCTTTACTGTATCATGTAAACAGGGAAGATTTAATTAACAGAAAAATAAACAGAGCTGCCAAAAAATAACAATTTAAAGTTTCTGATCAATAATATAGTATTCAATGATAAAGGAGGCGAAGGGGAAACAGACTGAATATTAATTATCTTCAAATAGACCTTTTCAATATCTCTCGACACCGACTAATGACACCTACAGTTTACAGGTAAAATGGATAGGTCGTCTCAAAGACAAAAACCATCAGGATTATCATTGCGTAACATATTGGATTGGCGGTTATATACTGTCTTGACTATATAGCTTCAGAAAATATATCAACCAAATGAATAAATAAATATATGTCTCTGTCATATAATCTTCTTATTTTGTATGTATATACACGACATTTCATGTTGAATTGACTAAAAAAATTACTACAATCATTCTGCATCCCTTCAATTTTATGATTATGTGAGTCTTTCACCAAATATTTGCCGCATGCCAATAACGATTAATTTGTTGGTGTAATAGGTTTTATGAAATTTTTTTAAATTTATGAAAAATAATTACTGAACTGTCCGTCCGTCCGTATCACACTTGTGAACACGACCAACTTGGTGTTTTTTAACCGATCTTCACCTTAGTTGATGTACATATTCAATTTCTGGAGGGATAATGACATAATGATTGTTAAGGTCGAAGGAAAATATCACATCTATTTTTTTTTTCAACGACGGACTTCTCCGCTTCAAGATATCTTGTTAGAGTTGATGTTTTTCCTTGATGAATTTTGAAAAAAAATATAATTGACTCCTCTTTTCAATGTTACAACATTTAAGCAGTGCATTTTTTTTTGTACATACCTGCGTATGGAATTTAATTTATATTTCAAGTTGTTAGTTTATACTATTGAGCTTGTTGACATTGCAAAATCTTTTTGGACCCGAAAAACAACATACCTTGTCCCTTCGTCGTAGTGTCCTTCCCCCGTTCCTGAAAATGACCTTTGGGTTTCTTACAAGAAGTTGATCAAATTTCGTCGATTTTATTTATACACTGTCATTGCTATATTTTGTTTTGTTTTCACCGGGTCGAAATTTGTTTCTCTATATCCAATTTCCGGTACATAGTTTTGGTTTTGTACCTTTTTCAATTTTTTTCGTACTTAAGATTTTTTTATCTCATCTATGACCATACATAAGGGAGGTTTTGGATCAAATCAGACTAGGAAAACCCCGTCGCATGTTATGTGCGCCTGAACCAAGTCCTGAATATGTTGGTAATTTGTACGTCTTTGATACGGTAGAATTTATAGTTAATGATATGACAATTTACAGTATGCTTCGCCTTCATATTCGATTCCATTTTAGTCGATCAACGATCCCTGTTTTTTTTAATTTTCTTTATATTTTTTTTATCCCTTTTTCTTTGTAAAAGGGGGATCATACCATAATGAAAAACATGCATTAAATCTAAATGTGTATTTTATGGGAGTCAATACCTACTGCAGAAGGCACAAAATAGCAAGAAAACATAATAATAACTTTTTATGATTTTAATTGGAATCAGAACCGGAAGATACACCAAGGGCCTTTAACAGTTTGGGCATTTTTTTGTTATAAATTTATTATATTCCTGTTGGTTTTCACGAATAAGATCCATTATTGACCGCTTTTTCGCTTTCATTTTTTGTGGCCGAACAACATTAGGATGAGCCAATTCATCAGCCCTATCTTCTATCTGCTCAACTACGGCGGCTTCTGGTTGACGAGGAGCTGGTCCAGCGACGGCATCCAGTTGTTGGAGGGCAGGTCTAGCTACGGCATCTGGTTGTTGTGGAGCAGGTCCAGCGATGGCATCCAATTGTTGGAGGGCCGGTCTAGCTGCTTCATCTGGTTTAGCTACGACAGTTGGTTGTTTGGGAGCAGGATCAGCTGCGGTAGCTGAACGTTTATGCAAAATTCCCGGCATTTCATCATCAGATGACAAACTATTTACGATTTTATCTCTGATGTCATTTTCTTTGACGGGTGCCTTCGGCTTTTTTTTAAAGTTTTTCCTCCATCTCCTTCACCTTCAGAATCTCATCCCTATAATTTTAAACAAATGAATAAATAAATAATGTGGACATTATCCATACGAAAACATTAAATTATACTGATCGAGTACATGTACATGCTATGATATTTGTATTTCACTACTTCAGTCATATGATCTTATATCAATAATTCTTTGGGTGTATAATTTGTCTACAAAATTGAATAAATAAACGATATTTTTGCATTAGAATTACTTACGTTTAAGCATACTGAAAATTAAGTTACATAGATGTGCACCGAAATAGAAATTTATTAAATGTAATTATATATAAGCTTACCTTATTTGATCATTGCTGATCTTTTCTGTTGAACTTGTCAGGAGTTTGCCAAATTTAGTTGACGGCCTACTCCGTAACTGTTTTACAGAGGCTTCAGAATACATTTTTTTGGCATCTTCAGGAAGTGAGTTAGTGTTTTCCTTCATGTGCTCAATTATTTTATCCCATGAACATGGATAAGTTTGATATGCTTTAAGAAGTAAAAGCACCTCTTTTTCCGACAAAAACACTTTTCTTCTTTTTCATAAGAATGGTAGGTGCTGCAAAAAAAATATATGCGTATTTTAAAAAACATATAAAAGAGAAATCATTGAATATTAAATAAAATAAAATAGATTTAAAAAATAAACATGAAAAATAAAAGAAGAAAACCGGTGTACTCGATTTTTAACACGAGTTGCATAATTATGCTTGTATTTCCAAAAATCTCAACACAGTCGTTGCTAATTTTATAACATATTTTCGTGCTAAGAAGAAACCAATTTGAGAAGGAAGAATTTGAGAGGTAATGCATTTACTTATATATATATATATATTTATTCAAACATGAGAATCAGCATCCCCCGTCCCCAATAAAAAAAATCAATCACAAAAGTCGAAGATAAGAGAAGGTTCAGTTTTTATTCCTTTAAAATATGTGGATGCAATGAAATATTTGATCATTTTTAAAAGATTTCAAAGAACAATTCCAAAAAAAGGGGGTATAACCCTTATTTGCCAAAGTAGAAACATATGGTTTGGTCATGCGGATTTTATAAAAATAAATATTTATGTATCATTAAAATAATAAAATATATTGTGAACTTACCAGCGCTTGCATCGTTAACCTCTGCCATGTTGATTAACACAATCCACGTGTACTATAAAATCACAACCTAGAAAGGAGTGCTCGACTCAACACAAAAAAAAGGGGGAGGGATAAATCTGTCTTGTTTGGAACATAAAAATTGAAAATTTCATTGAATGTGTTGACAAAAAAATAAATCTTTATATCTAGGCAATCTGTTTTATTTATCTATTATATATTACATAGGCGGATCCAGGGTGTGCCCTTGGGGCCCTGCCCCCTTTTATGGGATAAATTTGTTTGATTATATAGGGAATCACTGAAGCATGACTGGAGCGTGCGCCCCCACCCCCCTTTTTTTTTTTAGCTCAGACAGCCGCGTACTTATGAAAAGTTCTGGATCCGCCACTGTATTATATATATATATATATATACATTTTATTTATTTATTTTTATTTATGTTTTAATTAATTTCAGTTTGCAATGAATGATGAAACAAAAGAAAGGTCTTTTATAGGCTTCCACCGGATGTTGCAGCCTTCTATAGCCAAGTACTGCAAATTATACTGGCAGTGATCCGACCTCCACCTGATCCATTACTTGATATTCGTCACAGAATATGTGATGGACAGATACAAACTTGGGACGGAAAAGACGTTTTTACTGCCTTTTCCTCCCATAAATATTATTTTTATCTTGCTACAAGAGAAACTCCAGAAAGCCTGCTGAACTTAGCGAGGTGCACGAACAATGCGTTTCCAAATGACGTCGGACCAAATTACAGGCTATCTCATGTAAATAGAGCAATGCTGTATATGATGTGGCTCAGATCATACCCTTCATATCACAACCTTTCTTTGATATTCAATGTTAGTGTTGCAACAATATACAATGAGATTCACAGATGTATTCCTATATTTAGCCGGACTTTGGAACATTTTATTCAGTGGCCAACAGTTAATGCATGGAGAGACAAACGGGGTACATGGCCAAAACTTAGAGACGCCGTTGGAGCAATTGACGTAACATCTACAGAAATATATCGTCCGCTAATTGAGCCACAGGAACTGTAATATTCTGGCCATCGGCATTATCATGCCATACACACACACAGGTAGTTGTAGACAATGCCGGGTATATTTACTACGTAGAAAGTGGGTTTCAGGGCCATCAGAATGATGCCCAACAATTTACGTTGATGCAACAAATAGGGAGAGTTGGTCCGCTTTATTTCCCGGAAGACTGTGTTCTCCTTGGAGACAAAATTTATCCAAATCGTCATCCTTTAATTACACCATTTACAACACCTCAAATTAATGGTAAGCCAGAACATTTGAAGAGAAAGAGCAGAAAACTTAATCGAGTGATTGGTGAATACAGAATTGAAGTGGAACACCAAATTGGTGAATTGAAAAGATACAAAGTATTGAGTACATTATGGAGGCACCCAAGGCCAAAACTAACAGACATTGTGGAAACATGTGCCGCCCTTGTCAACAGACATAAAACATTGTTTAATTAAATATTCACTACAATAAAACATGCTTTGTTCTTTTCATTTTCCAAATTCCACCAGGACAGCTAGAAGCTCAACGTCTAAAAAGATGAAATGTGACTGAAAGTACATAATTTTCTTTATAATAAATTAAAAAATCCATGTCATTTGGACTCTGTAGGAAAGTTGTATCATTGTCAATGAAAGCAATAAAATCAATAATGATCTCACTTTTTTAATTTTTGAGACGACCCC